GGGGACACCGGGGGGGACATTGGGGACACCGGGGGGGACACCAGGGACACTGAGGGGACACCGGGGACACCGGGGGGACACTGGGGGGGACTGGGAGGTGCCAGTCCGGGGGTGTTGCTGGGGTATCCCCAATGTCCCCCTGTTGTCCCCACAATGTCCCCAATGTCCCCTCAACATCCCCTCAATGTCCCCAATGCCCCACCAATGTCCCCACTGTCCCCAATGTCTCCCAATGTCCCCAATGTCCCCCTGCTGTCCCCTCAACGTCCCCCCAATGTCCCCAATGTCCCCCAATGTCCCCATTGTCCCCAATGTCCCCAATGTCCTCTCAATGTCTCCCCAATGTCCCTCAACTGTTCCCCCGCTGTCCCCAATGTCCCAAATGATGTCCCCTAATGTCCCCCAATGTCCCCACTGTCCCCAATGTCTCCCAATGTCCCCAATGTCCCCCTGCTGTCCCCTCAATGTCCCCCCAATGTCCCCAATGTTCCCCAATGGGGTCTCTAACGTCCTCAATGACCCCAATGTTCCCCCAATGTCCCCAAAGTCCCCAATGTCCCTTCCTGTCCCCTCAATGTCCCCTCTGTCCCCCAATGTCCCCAATGTCCCCTCAATGTCCCCAATGTCCCCAATGTCCCCAATGTCCTCAATGTCCCCTCTGTCCCCGTGTCCCCCCAATGTCCCCTCTGTCCCCCAATGTCCCCAATGTCCCCAATGTCCTCAATGTCCCCTCTGTCCCCGTGTCCCCCCAATGTCCCCTCTGTCCCCCAATGTCCCCAATGTCCCCAATGTCCTCAATGTCCCCTCTGTCCCCGTGTCCCCCCAATGTCCCCTCTGTCCCCCAATGTCCCCAATGTCCCCAATGTCCTCAATGTCCCCTCTGTCCCCGTGTCCCCCCAATGTCCCCTCTGTCCCCCAATGTCCCCAATGTCCCCAATGTCCTCAATGTCCCCTCTGTCCCCGTGTCCCCCCAATGTCCCCTCTGTCCCCCAATGTCCCCAATGTCCCCAATGTCCTCAATGTCCCCTCTGTCCCCGTGTCCCCCCAATGTCCCCTCTGTCCCCCAATGTCCCCAATGTCCCCAATGTCCTCAATGTCCCCTCTGTCCCCGTGTCCCCCCAATGTCCCCTCTGTCCCCCAATGTCCCCAATGTCCCCAATGTCCTCAATGTCCCCTCTGTCCCCGTGTCCCCCCAATGTCCCCTCTGTCCCCCAATGTCCCCGTGTCCCCGTGTCCCCTCAGGCCGTGTGTGGCTGTGGCTCCCAGGACTCGTTGCCGTTCCGGCCGCTCCGGGACGGGGATTTGTTCTTCCCCGAGGACCGCGAGGTCAACCTGGTGGAGCTGGCACTGGCCACCAACATCCCCAAGGGCTGTGCCGAGACCACCGTCAGGGGTGGGACCCCAAAACAGCCCCGGGACCCCCAAATAACCCCTGGGACCCC